GTTCTCACGATGATCTCTACAAAATAATAAAAATGGATTATATTCTGCTCTATTCTGAGCATATTCACTTTTTCCTTGTCTCCTTTTTTTCCCCATAGCATTTCCTAACATAATGTCTTGAACAACTGCAGCTCTCCTAAATGTTTCTCTTACTTCTTCAGTTTCTTCAGCCCACATTTGTTCTGCTTTTTCGTTTGCTTCATCAACTTCATATTCTTTAGTTTTAACCATTTCTTTTGCTCTCCAATAAATATAAACTGCATGACTTAATTCTTCAATATCCTCAGTATACATTGCAGATTTACGTTTACGTTCTTTTATGTCTTGATCTATAGTTTGTACAGGAATAGTATTCATTGGTTCTTGTTCATAGACTCCATTAGGAAAAAATTCATTAGCATAATTCATCACAAATAGTTTGTTTATAATAAAAACCTAGTTCCTTGATTCTGCTGTATTCTTCTGCTTTTTTCTCTTTTTGATTTTACATCTTTTTATTTTTTTTTATTATAGTTTTATTATATTTTTATTATTTTCAAACTATTTTTTTATTAAAGTTCTTATAGTTCTTTTATAGTTGAGGGTTATTATTTTTCTCTTTTTGTTAAAAAAATTACAATATAATAAAATTACTAATAAATAATTATAAAATTATAATAAATAAAAATAGAAATAAATAACAAAAATAAAACTATAAGAAGATTGAAAACAAAAACTTACTCACTCATTTAGAGATAGTATAACCATTTTTAATTGGAAGTAGTTTCTTCTTTCTTCTCAGCTCTTTGATAGGCTGAAGTAACTGTAATTTTTCTACCTTCTACTTCAAAGTTATCCATTTCAGCAATAGCTTTCTTTTGTTGTTCAGCAGTTTTGAATGTAACAAAACCATATCCTTTACTTCTGTCAACATTTAATTTTTTATTATGTCTCTTTACAATAGTAGCTTCAACAACATCATACTTTTCAAATAATTTTTTGAAACCTTCATCATTTAAAGTAAATGGTAAATTCTTAACGAAAACATTAGTTTCAGAAAGTGATTTTGGTTCATTTGTTTTCTTAGTAGTTTGTTTGTTTTCAGCTTTCTTATAAGCAGCAGCAACTGTAATTTTTCTACCTTCTACTTCAAAGTTATTCATTTCAGCAATAGCTTTCTTTTGTTCTTCAGCAGTTTTAACAGTAATAAAAGCAATACCATTATTTTTGGTAACATTTCCTTTCTTTCTATGAGTCTTAATAAGTGTAATTTCAACAACTTCAAATTTAGAAAACATTTCTTTAAGTTTTTCTTCAGTAATAGCAAATGGTAAATTCTTAATGAATAACATATTATCAGTTACTTCATTTGTTCTTTTTACTAAATGTCTTTTACGGGTATTTCTTTTTCCTTTAAAACCACGTCTATTCATTTTTCTTTCTGTTGTAGTTTCTTCTCTTGGAAGTGCTTTTTGGACTTTAATCTCCATCTTTCCAATTGTACGTCTATCCATTTCAAGTGCTTTTTCAGCTTCTTGTGGAGTAGCAAATTCAATAAAAGCAAATCCTCTTGAATATCCAATTGGAGTTGAAATAATTTTTACTTCTTTTGGATTATAAGTTTTAAAAGCATTTTGGATATCTTCAACTTTAAGAGAGTAATCCAAATGTGAAACATATAATGTAGTCATCTTGTTTAATTAAAGGGTATTTGAAATTTTTAAGTTTCTTTAACCCTTTATAAGTTTGCTGTTTTCATTAATTTTAATAATTAATTTTATTTTATTTAATTCTTATCTTTTTGAATCTTATCCTTTTTTTTTATTTACTTTTTTCTTTCTTTTCTTTCTTTTGTCCTTCTTTCTCTTTTACCATTTTTCTTTTTTTGTCTTTCTTTATCTACAAAAATCTTTTTCTTTATCTTTTTTCTTTTCTTCTTTTTGAACCTTTTTTTACTACAAATTTTCGGGTTATTTCATTTTCTTGAATTACGTTTCAATTGGTGGATCCACGTCATATTTGTTTCATTTTTTTTTTCATTCAAAAATTCCTCACCATACAAAAGAAGTTAATTAATAGTTATGAATAATTCAATTTAACTAAAACATAACTTATTTTTTTTTTGTTATTATCAATACCTTCCTCCACTTATTTGAATAAATTTTTTACATAAAATACATTCATTTTTGTTTATAAATCCTTCAAAAATTATAAAGGTCAATTAATATTTTGTTAATGTTTCTTAATTTAAAATTGGATTGGTAGAGTTATTATTTGTTATAAACAATAAAGAAGTAATGTTTTATAAATTCACAAAGATTTTAAAAAATGAATAAAAGAAAGAAATGAAGAAGAAGAAAAAAAAAGGCAAAAAAACTACAAATTAAAAAAAAAACAAAAATAATGAGAAGAGTCTTTGTATTAAGTGATCCACATTTAAATTTAGATTTAATTGAAGAAGTGAAGCCAAGATTTGTCGGACGTAAAATGACAGAGACGTCAGTAATGAATGAATTTAAAAAAAAAACATACGATATGTCACAGTATGGATTAGAATGGAAAAACCATATAAGTAGACTAGAAGAAAATTGGAATAATTCAGTAAGTTCTAATGATATTGTTATTATTCCTGGTGATATTTCAGCAAATAAAAAGTATCCTAAATTAGATTTAACTTGGATTAATGAACGTCCAGGGACTAAAATTCTTGGGTGTGGAAATCATGATAAATGGTGGCCAAGTAAAGAAACAGCAAAAAGAAAATATGAAGAAGAATTTAAAACTATCAAATTTGTTGATCAACATAAAAGTTATATTGATGATAAAATTGTTGTTATGGGAACAAGAATGTGTGATAATGAATATAACTGTTGGCCTATTATTAATAAACAATTAAAAGAAGAAACATTAAAAGTATCAATTGATAAAACCTGTTGTCAAGTAATGAAAGAAAGACTTAATTTTATATTAAATAACATGAATGAAATAGAAGAAGATAAAATAAAAATATTAATGATTCATCATCCTCCTTATAATGAAAAGGCAGATATCAATCCAATCTTTGAAATGATTCTTCAATCAAAAGTTGATATTTGTTTATTTGGTCATATTCATACTTTTGGTCGTTTTTATTTAAATGAAAATTATCACACAATTGAGGATATTCAAAAAGTTTATCCTTCTATAAACCTTTTATTAAATCAAAAAAGATTTATTTGTGCATCATCTGATTTATTAAAACATTCACCATTACAAATATTACAGTATTAAAATTGATGAATTATTTTTTTTAATTTTGTTATATATTACAACATTCTTTTTATTTTTCTTTTTAATAAAAAGAACATAAAGAATAATAAAGAAGTTCATAGAATAATTACTTCTTTATTCTACACTCTATTAGATCTTCTTAATCTTTTTCTTTTAATCTATTTCTTCTAATGGATAAAGCCACTTTAGCTAAATACATTGACCATACTCTTCTTAAAGCTGATGCTACTGAAGAACAAATTAGAAAATTATGTTCTGAAGCTGCTGAATATAAATTTGCTTCTGTTTGTGTTAATCCAACATGGGTTCCATTATGTGCAGAACTTCTTAAAGGTACTGGTGTTAAAGTATGTACTGTTATTGGATTCCCATTAGGAGCTACTCCATCAGAGGTTAAAGCTTATGAAACTAAAGTTGCAGTTGAACAAGGAGCTGAAGAAGTTGATATGGTTATTAACATTGGAATGGTTAAAGCAAAGAAATATGATGATGTAGAAAAGGATGTTAAAGCTGTTGTTGATGCTTCTGGAAAAGCACTTACTAAAGTTATTATTGAATGTTGTTATTTAACAAATGAGGAAAAAGTTGAAGTTTGTAAGAGATGTGTTGCTGCTGGAGCTGAATATGTTAAAACTTCCACTGGATTTGGTACTCATGGAGCTACTCCTGAAGATGTTAAATTAATGAAAGACACTGTTGGTGATAAAGCACTTGTTAAAGCTGCTGGAGGAATTAGAACATTTGATGACGCAATGAAAATGATTAATAATGGTGCTAGTAGAATTGGTGCATCAGCAGGTATTGCTATTCTAAATGGAATTCACTAATATCAATATCTTTTTTAATCAAAATAATTTTTTATTCTTTTCTTTTTGTTCACTTTCTTGAAGGTTGAATATCAGAAACATCACATAAACACTAAAAAAATATAATCTAACATTTTAGTTTTTTAGGTATTATATGATGATGATTAATTTGAATATGAAATATAATAAATAATAAT